AATGAGCATAGACCTATAAGATTTGATTAAAATGTAAAATTGATACCTTATTTTTCAATTTTAATAGGCAAATAAAAAATAGGACAAAATATGCCAATGTGTAGAAAATAATAGAAAATTTATCAATGAAGCAAACACTCTAGGATTAAAGATGGCTTTATACATAGACAGTAGAACATCATTTGTAATCCCTAACCTAATTGCCCACTTCATGTATTCCTGACATTCTGAAATACTTGTCAACATCACTCATTTAGCTTTCAGAGGGAAGAATCACCATTACCAGAAACTTTTAAAAAAACGTATACATCCCTAGTATCAGGCACATTTGTTATGAGCTATTTTATGTTTAAATTCATCATTTCCTTTGGAGTAAGGAAAATAATGCTTGATGGAAAGAATAACTTAGTTCTTCCCTCAGAAAGAGAGAAGCCTCTGAAATTCAAGGGCACAGAATACTGAATGGGGAGATGAGTGACCATCACAAACAAACTTTGCCTTGGGTCAGGTGGACTTTCACATGATGGCAGTTTTCTCAATCTTAAAAAAATTAAAAGATAGCCTAGCTCCTAGTTTTGCAGTAGCCACACTGAGAGATAACCAGACATGTAAAGGGATTGATTGACATAGTATGTGATGCTCAGAAAGCACCCAGTATCAGGTGCTAGTATTTTTAATACTCTTGAGTGCAAACTCTGTGCTAAGAACATCAATTTATAAAAAAAGAAGAGAGCTGGTTATGGAAGTGCTATCAGTCCAATGGGGGAGCCATCAGGATTACATTCGGCTGTAAATGCAAAAAGTCCTTCTGCAGTTAAGTAGACAGGGGTTTATTTATCTTATGCAATCAGAAGCCAAAGGATAGGTATTCCAGATCTTCCTTTACAGGTTGGCATGCCTTCAAAAACCAATGACCCCTTTCTATCTTCTTATACTACCATTCCTTATTATGTGACCTTCCTCAATATAGAAAGCCATCGCGGTGGTTAAAAGAGCACAAATTGTAGGGTCAGTCTCCTTGGTTCAAATTTCAGGACTGTCACTTACTAGCTGAGACCTTGGGAAATTTCCTTAATCACTTTGTAGATCAGTTTCATCATAAGTAAAATGGGGATAACAATTGTATTTAACTCAGAGAATCATTTTGGGAATTAAATAAACTAATATCTGTAAAAGTACATGAAAAAGGGCTGGACACATAGGAGGGGGTGGAGCTAAAAGAAATTTCTGTCTATATCTCATTGGCAAGAGAGGCTGGGGAAAAGAGTTTTGAGATGAGAACATTGTTGCCCCAAACAAAATGGGGGTCCTATTAGGAACAGGAATGGATATCAGATATAGCTTTAGCAACATCTGCCACAGTAGGAAAGATATAAACAAATAATTGTAAAAGACATAAAAAATGCAGGACAGGAGCAGAAAAGAGGAGTAAAATACCTAAATTCGCCCAAGAAAGTAGAGGAAACTTCATTATATGGAGGTGGTGTCTGAGTTATGACATGAAGGATGGACAGGAATTCTGCAGAAGGACAAAGCCTGAAGAATGTATAAAAGTCAAGTTACAGAATAGAAAAAGAGTGGGGTGTGGGGAAGATTATGATGAGAAGTAATTTTAGCAAGGATTCAATGCTACAAATAAAGCCATCTGAATGCCCTGAGAAGAGATGAAAGCAGTAAAAGAATTATGCATCCATATCTACCGGTCAGCTTGAGGATAATTTTTTTCCCTCCAATCAGCATAGTTACCTATTTTTCTTCAGGAATAGCGTGAATATCAGGGGGCAGGGGAAAGAAAGTGGATGGCTGTGAAGGAAACCAAAATATTTCTCCCCAAAATATAAGAATTGCTAACTAAAGACACTGAAAATGCAGGGGAACACTATGACTCGGTCTCTCTTTGCCTGACGGTGGGACATAAATCCTTTCTACTGGGAGATGGCACTTGCTTATCATCCCAGAGAAGGCACTAGCAGGCACCAGAGGAATCTCGGAATAGGTTTTACTATCTTCCAACATTTTCTTGCCTTTTAAATGACTGGAACTCCTTTCTTCTTTGTTTTGTCACTATGACAAGATTTATCGCTCTTTGTTAAAATGCTATCTCAGCAAGGTCCCTAAGCCACTGCCTTGAGAGAGATACTTTTTGACTGAGGCCTCTCCCATGTGATGGGTACAGCAGGCATCAATAAATTTCTGTTTTTTTCTCTTGTTAGTCTGACTTTTGTTTTCAGGACAGTGTCTCAATTAAATACTTATGAGGGTTGAGAAAAGAAATTGTATTTTCTCCTCTTCAGCTGGATTGAGCAAGGCTGGGATTGGTAGGGCAGGTACGGCATACGACCAAGGAATGAGAGAACTAAGAAAGAGAGTGAGAGTGAACTGACTGAAGACAAGTTCGAGGATTGAGTGACTAGGGGTTTTAGTAAGGGTAAAGACAACAAAGACCAACACAAAACAAAACAAACAGAAGCACGAAGAATACCTACAGAAAAAGTCAAATTAGAAGTGAATTCTATCTCAGAAGATACCAATCCACTCTTGCATTCTCCCCTTACAATATCTACTATCCAAACACAAGTACACAATCTGTCATGCCTCAGGGAGAAAGTACAAACACAATA